CAATAATAAAAAAATAATATTAAAAAAATTTAATTAATTTGATATATTTTTAATTTTTTAAAAACTTTTTAGAGTGATTAACGTTATCTTTTTAATAAGAAATAGGTATTCCCAAATGACAATTTTTTTTTATTTTTTTATTTTTTATTTTTTTAATTTAGCAAAATGTTAAACCAATAAATTTGTTTTTAAGTGATTGCTAAGTAAAGTTTAAATGTATTATTCAATCAATAAAATGTATAAACCGAGAATTTTCCTAAAACAATCCCTAAGGATCGTACATCCGAGCATATAAATTACATCACCCATGTCCATCATATCTAAAACAGAGGACTGTCCACCCTAGGTGGCGACAACCTTATAAATTCCTGGCTCATAATGACTAAGTAAGGAAAAACTTCTTTTTGGACCATTGATCATGCCTCAGTGGTTTTCATCGATCATCGTTGGCCTATCATGATTTTGACGAAATCTAAGAACCACTATTTTGGATAACTGTTTTAGGTTGTAAAAGATTCATTGGAACTAGCAACCTTTTTGCGCTCCTAACTTTTCACCATTAAAGCAGAAGGTAAATCCCTACGGATCTACTTATCCAATTCTCAAACGAGAAAGTTGGGTCACAATGTCCACAAATCAATGTTCCGAACTTATGTCAATCATAGCCTAAGTCAAAATAACCTCACTCCCCAGGAGGAAGTCTTCTCATGGTCTACACTTTCCTCAATAGTGCGACTTTTCGGTATCTAGCGAGCCTTATGCCTCAACAATGACTATCCAAATTACGCATAACTTTAGAACAGTTTCGCGTCATAGTGAAAAGTCAACCAAATTATAGAAATGGTTAATCCTCAAAGACTTTGTCTTAAACTGCGCAACATTAATCCACTTTCTAAAAAAAACAGGGGACTAGAGCCTTTGACATTATCCTAGGCTCTTTATCATCTTGCGGAGCAATCATGAATGTTTCCCTCTCAATCACCCAGTGATGACATGGAAAATTTTCACATTCGCTACCACGCAACTTAAGAATGTAAAGTATTCTTCTCTAATGGAGTAATCCATTAGTAGGCACATCGCTCCCACTGTCCCTAGGATATTGGAAATTTTTTTCCATTCTCAACTAGGCTACATAAAGCGCTATGCTTAGAATTCTCTATCTTATAGAGTTCCAAAACTCTATTCACGTCACCTTTACTAAGAAAACTTTATATGACTTAGTTACACTACCACAAAGCTGCTTACCTATATGCATATGACCCGGAGGGTTTGCATGACCTCATACAATAATGCGCCATACGACCCTTTGTGTTTATAAGACAGCATACAATAATGCACTATAGAACCCTAGGTCTTAACTTCGCAATCTTATGAGAAGTAGAATAAAGATAAGCTGCTTAACGGTTACAGATCGCCCATTGGTGGCTCTCTGCTAACCCATTACTCAAAATGGAGTGTAAAATCTGATATGGAGGGCACTTAGTTAGGGATATAGGCAACAAACTAGCGCAATTCCCAATTGGGAAACATTTTGCGCCATTATCCACCTAACATTAACAATACTTAATTCCTTATCTCTACTACACTATTATGTTATTGAGTATTAGGAATAATCAATTTTCTAAACATCCATCTCTCTTCACAGAGCTTTCTAAAAATAACTCAAATAGATACTCGCCACCTTGGTCAAAACTAAAAGCACAAAAGCTCTTATCTTATTGATCTCGACCTCATATGTGCAATGTCAAAAATCATCTCAAAACTTTTGACTTATGGGAGATCAAATAGTCTTGACTCAGATGCGTATCATAATCTATAAATGTGTCGAGATTGAGGATTAGCTATCATACCCTCACACATATCTAGGCACAAATATCATAGTGGACTAAATGCGCCAAAACAAATGACCTTCTACGGCTTTCCTACTTACTTGTGCGCACCCATTGCGAACAAAGTTACACATTCACATGAGAGCAGGATGTCATAAGCGAGTGGGCCCGAGAAGGCCTACTCAAACCATCGTGTCATCATCTCATTAATGTGATTAAGTATAATAAGCCACTGGTTCATGACCAATGTCATAAACTAATTCCAAATCATCTTAATGTGTGAGTTCTCGAAAACAAGTTTTAAAGGTTTAGGCCCAACTAGGTAATAACTCACAACTAATTCATATTCACTAGATCATAAAAGGATGTCATGGAGATATCAAGTGCGCCTAAGTCGCAAATTTAACTAGTAAGTGCTAATCCCCTGTAATGAGCAAGGTCAATGTCTAAACAACTCAGTTAACCATTTATCAAAGATAAAACTTATCATGCCGAATACGCCCACATAGCGTACTTTAGGCTCCCACAACAAAGAAAAAATCAAGGAATATAGGGTCATCTGTTTCT